TCTATTCCTTGCATCTTCGCTGCGTTGATTTTCTTTTACTTCGGTTTTTCCACTTAAGTGTTTTGGCATTTCTCCCCTACAATTTTACATTTAGCTCGGTATGAGCGGAAGGGATTTGTTTACATTCAATGCAGATGCATGCGTTGACGACGAAGATGCGGAAGATGTTGAGTTTGAACATGAAGAAGAGAATGTGAGTTTTGATAGTCCATGATTGTCGTGCTCTTTGTGTGCATCTATTCCGTGATCTAATCATCATTTGATGGCACTACTACATTTAGCCAGACGAGAAGGTATTCGAAATCGACAACAACTTCTTCAAATTTGAAGGAATGGATGACGATTTGGACGAAATTGCTGCTCCGAGTGATGCTAATTCCAATGTTACTGATGGATTAGCTCAAGGTAAACTGCGGTATGCGCTCAAATATCATAAAGACTCACTTCAAATGATTCAGGGGTCGCAGCTGTTGCAATTAATGAAGAGTTGTTCGATGTTGACGAGGAATTAGAGGGCTTGACTTCAGACGAAGATGAGCCGAAGGCGTCTGCAGCGGTCAGCTGAATCATCGCACTCTTTCTGCATGCCCGCCTTTCTCAAGCTCAACCAAATTGATTTTCCCGACTTTCACAACCTCATCACTTTCCAAGATGTTTGTCAGAATGTTTTATACAGTTTGTATTGATTAAATGACTCCTCGCTGTTCTTACTTGGCTCGCCCTTTCATCTTCCATTCTAAACCTGGGTATTAGAGAGATTTTTCGAATAGTTATTGTGATGGCATCGATCTTGTGATGAGAGTGTATGTCTGATTCCGACTGACTCTCATTGATTGCGCTGAAGGCGATAATTACGAATGTTTGTCAATTGTGTTCTTGACTGATTCTGTTTCTAATTGTTTGGGTGGCACCGGTACTTGACGCTTACATCGGTGATAAATGTTTTTCGCGGAAATACGTTCACAATTTGAGATGGACTTGTGGTTCAATAGCTATCTTTTTCAGTTTTTTCTTGAATGATGAATAGCAGTAGCATTCGTTTTTGTTGTTGTTTGGCAATCCCGCTGGTTGTTCGATGCGTGCGCTCGTATTGAAATTCTCTTTGCCACGTAACACTGTGATGGCGCTCTAACTCTTATCTTTTATCATTTGCATTCTTTTCAGATTTGAATGTCTAATCGCGTCAAAAAAGATTGAGTCGTAGATTAGCTTCCTCTAGCAGCTCTTGTAGATTAGCTTCTTCTAGTAGCTTTATGTTTCCGTTCGAAGTTCATTCTATACATGAGATCTTTTGTTGCAGCCATGACATCCAGAGGACTTTCAGTAGCTCTTAGGAATGCTCCTCGATTGCTGCAGCAATCACATCGCACCGCTGCTCACTTCACCTATATGCCATCAGGGGTGAAGCCGGAAATCGCTAAGGGTACGTTCAACCTCAATAATTCTTTCCCTTCCTTTTAATGTTACAGCTAATGTAAACTTAGAAATGCATCATCATTTATATGTCCCTATTAGTAATTTCTGCATTGTCAGTGTTACTCACAATTTGATCGACATTCAACGTGCTTGGTAGTTCGAGCAATTTCCAAAATACACAATGCAAACTGAGAAATCTTGGAGTTTGTTACTTTGCATATAAGAATTATTTAGCATGCTGACCACAGTTACCAGATTTTTCCCGCACGAACGCGTCTTTCTATGGTTACGGTAGAGGTGAAATTCTTAGAATCTAAAACTTTGCCTTGAGGAATTATTTAGCACTATAAACTGTTTTCCTATTGATTTTGCACGGTCGCATCCTTTTTCGGGCCGTGATGGGCATACACTAGATGGGCCACATCCCAAGCCTACTTAAAACTTTGCTTAGAGGGGTTTTGAAGCGTGCTGGTTACCAATGTTACCTTGGTTTTGGCATTTCGTGGAGTTACCGTAGGTATACGTCGGACATATATTCCCGCTGAAACTATGTGGTTGACGGTTATCTGACTAGCCTATCACGAAATTGCGCCCAATTCGCATGATCAGGCATTTTCCTGGACGTTTGTTCTGGAAAGCAGTAAAGCTATTCATC